TTATGAGGAGTTAAAAGTGCAGAGTTATATTATATCAAACGATCATATTGCACATTCTTAATAACTATTACCAATGACCTTTTTTTTTTTTTTTTTTTCCTTTGAAGTTGGGAATAAGGGTGGCAATTTCCCTAATCCTCATGGATCCCACAAGAATCCCCCTTGTGGGGGCGGGGTGGGGATGAGGGTATTTTTCCCTCATTAATTTATGTGGGGAATTTTTCTTATCTTGTGAGGCTCTACAAGGATTCTTATCCTTGTGAAAAATTAAAATATATATATATATTAATTTTATTTTAAATGTACATCACAATACATTTTAAACCCAACTCAATAAAAATTAAATTTAACCCAATCCAACCCAACCTATATCTAAGTTTAATCCAATTAAATTAAATTGGATTGATTTTTATTTATATTTGGAGAATTTATATTTGATTTTATATTTAAAAAATTTTAGTTAATTGTATCTGAAATTTTAAAACTTTATTCATTGTATTTGAATATTAATAAATAATATTTGAAGAATAAAATTTATATTTTAGTATAGATTGATGAGGAATGGTGGGCAAAATTTGCCCCCCATCAAAAGTTCCCATGTTTATCCCATTCCTTGCCATTTGTAGAGACGAGGACAAGGAGACACTCGCCGGTTTTATGGGCCCCATTGCCACCCCTAACTAGAAATGATAAAAGGGTATAATTTGAAGTTCGAACCATGGTTGATACTAAGTTGTTGATGTACCTTGATCAATGTAGCTAGAGGTGGAGAAAATCTTCACTGCATGTGATACTACGTGAGCGGTATCCCCATCCTTTAATATTATGACAACTCAATTGGGTAATCACCCTACAATAAAAACTAAAGCTTTTGCAAATTTTTATTATTTTTAACGGAATTCACATAACTGTAACGGTCACTACATATGAGGTAACTTTTAAACTTTTTTTTTTTTTATTAATCCTCTAGTATCTGAAAGTCATATTAGACCCAAACTAATTTAGAATCAAGTTACATTGGATCCCATAAAAGAAAAACTCTTTTAGTGCTTGCTTTTCCATTCATAAGATTCAAATTCAAGATTTTATTTAAAGGAAATAAACTCCTTTTATTTAAAGGAAATAAACTCTTTTTATTTAAACTAATAAATCATTGGTTTTAAAATTTTAATTACTAGTTGACATACTATTCTTATGCTTATTCAAATGTCCACCCCCTCGGCATAAAGTTAGAAAAGGGATAAGAATTTAATCAAAGTGGGGAAGGCCGATAACTAAGGTTCTTAATCTCCTATTGATAAGTGTATCAGTTTTGTTATTAGAATGGTACTTATAGGGTATCAAAAAAATATAAGGTACCATTTTGGATTTGGTGCTATAAATATATATAAATTAAATTTAATATAAACCTATTCGATACTATAAAATATATTTTTTTATTGGAATATGTAATAAAAAAAGCAAAAATCAGGATGTTCAATCCCAACTATGAATTAAGTGGGACTTATATTATATTTCACTCATTATATAGTTTTGAATGGATGTCTTGGCATTTTTTAATATAAAACATCTTGATTTTTGGCATCTTCATATTTAATAGATAAAAAAATAATATATTGAAAAGCTTAATTCAAGAAAAAAATTTGTAAAAAATTATTAAAAGTTAAAATGAAAGAATTAACTTGCAAATAAATAATGAGTCTCTTTGCAATTTAAAAATATAAAAGGAGTTTTATTGCAACTAATCAAGAACAGAGCACATAAAACATTGGATTTTCTTCCTTGTAGAAAGCGTAAGTCTCCCCTCCCCATACCCATTTTTATGTTGCTCAAATCTTCACCAACACTACCAAAATTTGCAATTTCTTCAACAATCAAGCCAGGCTTAAATTTTTTAACATTAGTCTTGAAGTCTTCTTGCACAAAATTGTAAATTATTAATTTTGTCCTCCAATCTTCCTTACCTTCCCCCCTGTCTCATCCTCTTCATCTATTGTCTTTTATCCCTCTCTCTCATCAAGTTTCCAAAGCCCAAATTCAACCTCCTTAACTCTCACATCTTCTCTCGCATTTGTTCTTGGATTTTCCATTCCTTGAATTTTTTTTTTAACAGGTTTACATTTTAAAAGAGAAAGGATTCAAATCCCAACTCTTGAATTAGAAGATATACTTTACTTTAAGACTTATAATTATTGGATCACAAAGTGTGGTATTCCTTGAATCTTTTTAAACGCAAGAAGGCTGGAATTTCAATAATTTTGCATCATGGATCTATTTTTGGATGCTGATTTGTGCAGTGTTCCTGAGCCTCTTTTTTTGTCGTGTCTTATTCTCTAACTTTGCATCGTTAGAGAATGTTAATACTGGCCGGTATATAAAATATTGGCTGGTACAATCATCTTTGCCTGTACAACTAAGATTGTGAGCGGCACGATATCATCTATATTTTGTACCAGATTTGTGTTGAAAACTTGAAATTGGTACATGCCAGCAGTACTGAGCAGTATGGTACGAAATTGATAACCTTGCTGATAATTCATGATTTTCAACGTTCCTAGGATATAAGTTCTAGTATTTTTTTTTTAAAATTACCTTTCAAAAAGGTATTTTTTTTTAAATACTGTAGTAAATGTACCTAAAACAGTTGGGGTTTTTTAAAATTTTTTAATTAATCAAAGCTGCTACTTTGTTCTATAATTTGTTGCTTGAAAATTTATATTTTGAATTTTGCACTACAGTAGCATATTCAATGGGGCATTGATAAATTTTGATGTAGTTTTTATTAACAAAAAAAGCATCGAAGATGAAAAAATTCACTTAAATTTGACAATATTTTCATTCTTTGGCCTGAGAAAAACTCTAATGCATAATAATAGAAGTTTTCTAACTTAAGTAAAATCTTTTGAAACGTTGAGAGACTACATGATGCAAGATTGGTCGCATTTACCATTTAGGGACCTATATAAATGAATTCGAAGTCATGGGATCAAAGTTTTCATTTTTTAGAAGATAGAGGACCAGATGTACAATTCCACCATTGAAGAAATTGTATAAAAATTCCAAAAACCGACGCTGCTAATTTGTCGACACCACCTTGGTAGCTATCGACACCACCCGTCAAGACTTTGTGGTGTAAGTGCCGATTGCTAATTGTGGTGTCAACACTCAAAGCAATCTTCAGCTTTAAAAATATTTATTTCTGACACAGGTAACAGGTCTTATTTCTTTTTTAATAAGATTTTCTTTAACTTCATAAATATTGATTCAAAACTTTATAATCTTTATTTGATTTAAATTATCCATATCTTGAATTATTAGTTATCATTTTTTTGTTTTAGATTTCTAATAAAAAATAATCACTTTGAAAACAATAGAAATATTTTACAGATATAATTCTTCTCTTTCTTCTTCTTATAGAATCAATATTCAAAAGCATAAAAACGACTGCCCTTCTTCCATGCATCATTTACTCTTACTTTTATAAAGCATACAATACAAGCTTAGCAGTTAAAAAGCATGAAATGTCTATTTTTTTTCAAATGGGTTTTTTAATTTTATGGGTATAATTATTATATATTTTTTATATTAATTACTATTAAAAATATAAAAATTATCATTAATTTTAGTTAGACAATTACTTAAATAAAAGTTAGTTTTTATTTTTTAAATATTAATTAATATGAAAAATATAATAATTATACCCTTAAAAGCACATGTTAAAAAAAATCCTTTCCAAATTTAAGTGAATTTTTTTATCCTCAATACTTGTTTTGTTAATAAGAACTATGTCAGAATTTAACAAAACCATAACGAATTTACTCCTCTAGAACAAAATTCAAAAGATAAATTTTCAAGCAACACTTTATAGCAAAAAATAGTAGTATTTGCTTAATTAAAAAAATGAAAAAAAAAAAACCCCACTGTTTTAGCTGCATTTACAACAATGATCTGACAAAAATATTAAAATGTATTAGAGAATAATACTCCAACGACGCTGAAAAAATCACAAGTTATTGGTCTTTTCCACTTTGATAAAATTGTTATGCCTCCTCTAACTTTTTGAGAAAAAAACAAATATTTGACTAAGCATAAGAGGGTAATAAAAATATTTTTTATTGTAATTTATATTAAAAAATAAAAATTAATATTTAATTTATTAATTATTTGATTAAATTCATTAACTTTGACAATGATAATAAAATTAATATCAATTTTTATATATATTTATATATTTACGGTAAAAATATACCATTAATTTATATTTTTAAAGTATAAATTAAAAAATCCTGTAAAAAAATACAGAAAATCATGCCTAGGCCCTAATGGCAATAAAATTGAGCGGGAATTGGGAGAGTGAAATTGGGAGAGTGAGGTAATTAAAATTTTAGAAATTTGTATTGGAAAAGTTAACCTTATTTGTCCTCTTCATTATAGTTATGTCAACTTCGTTAAAAGAAAAAAAAAAAAAAAAGAGGAAAAAACAAAAGTTAGCAAAATATTAGTTTTTATTGTAGGGTACCCCACTAAGTTGAGTTGTTATAATATTAGAGGACAAAATACTCTTAACATAATATTCCTATTTTTTAAAAAACTTTCTCCTGATGATGAATTAGCTTATGTCACAGCCTCATGGATTACACAGGTTGGGTCACATAATGGCTCAATAATCCCTAATCCTAGTCTGATCCAATTGGGTTGACTTTATTAAGTCCATTATAGGTCACACAGAAACATTAAGTTTTCATTTTTTATATTTTGTACTTTTTATCCATATCATTAATAACAAAATATTTTTTTAATAAGTCAATGACTAATATGGGTCACTTTAACTAAATTAAGAAGTTGATATTACCATTCCATCCAACAAAACCTAGTCTTATATAATAAAATGAGTTTGAGTCCTTGAATAAAGTTGAGATCCTCAATTACAAGCATTAAAAATTTGAATCCTTAATTAGTAAACTTATAAAAGCTGTATTCTAAAACATAATTTTAAATCTTTGACCTTTTGCCCGTTGGAGTCGAGCATTTCACAAGTTAGTTTGTAATTGTATCCGGTTTGAAGTGGGACTGTAGTTATACTTCAGTGCCAAGCAACCATTCTCTATACTGTTCAAATGGTTTCTTAACTTCAATGAATCGGTGAAATTCTCGATTTCCCTAGTACATAACTCCTACTTCAGAGCTTAAAAAATTCTGAAACTTAGTTCATGGAAGAGATGGTTGTTGCCGGTGGAGAATCACCGGCGGAGGAGGCTGACGATGGTTCCTTTGATACCATTGTGAAGGGTACTGAAATGGTAACGGCTGATGAAGACAAGAGGATGTGGCTGCTAACCCAGATAGTTATGAATTCTTTTCTTCTCCGGTTTAAAAAGGACCGGATTCCGGTCGCCCAGAAACATGCCACGGGTTTTCTTGATCATGCTTCCAGAAAGAAAAGATCCGAGAAGAAGAGAACAGAGACCAAGAAAACTGATGCGATTCCTGATTCTGATACAAAATTTCCAGTTTTCGGGTTGAAAACAGAGGGACAGAACCATAACTTGAATGAGTTCAAGATATTTCCTTCGGTCCCAGTTATTGGAAAATTATTTGAAAGGAAAAACGATGCTGAAAAAGAATTGGATAAGATTCAGATAAACTTCAAGAACTTGATAAAGCCGACAGGAAAACGGGTTTGTGAAGACAGAGACGGCGAAGGGGAGTTGGGTGAGCTCGAGGACTCAAAGAAGCACAAAACAACCTGCCAGGCCAACTCGACGCCACAACCACATTCCTGAGAAATTCAAGAATCATACCTATTTTTTGCGATCGGAAAGCGCTTTAACAACTACCGATCACCACGGACCGAGCCCCCTCGCGAAACATGCCAACACGACGTTAATCTTTGTTTCCTTTTTGAATTAAAAACTGTGATATTGGATTGTGGAGAAACTGAAACATTGGTGTTTGGTTTGGAATTTTCTTTGATTTTTTTGTTTCTAATTATTTGGGTTTTCAATTTTAGTATCATTCTTACTGTGCTAATTTAGATTTGGAATTGTGTGTAGTTATGATGGGGTTATTTTGGTTTTTTTCTTGGATGCAATTAAGAAGATGCATAAGAATTTAGAAATTTTTTATTCATTGCTAATGTTTAAATTTAAAATTTTTAACAAATAATTTTATTTTTTTATGCATTGAGACATTCTTTTGAGAGGCTACATTGTTGCTTGATGTTTCACTGTATTAGTTTGTGCTGGTGATGGGTGGTGGAGAGAGAAGGGAAGTGATTTTAACATGAAAATCAAGAGGGTTTTCATTTTTATTTTGTTATGAGGAACTGGCCGGAGAGAATTGATTTTTTCCACAATCATTTGGAGGAAAAGAGTAGTACTGGAATTGGGACATAGGATGATTTTGCAACAGTCTGGTACTTGTATTTTTGTTCAAAATTGGAGCATTATGGATGATTTGAGACAATTTTCTCGATGCTGAATTAAGTATCAAAAACAATCGATCGAAAAAAAAAAGGAGTATCAAAAACAATCGCTAGATACTGTTGCAATCAATTAGTTTTGATGATAATATGCTAAGCTCATGCTGCAGATCCTTAATTTGATGTTTCTGTTAGCAATTGCTTCTTCTTCTTCCTTTTTTCTTGACATATTTTGACTGTATTAGTTTGAATCTTCTGTATGGTTTGTGAGCACTACAATTAGGGCTAGTAAAAAGTTCCCCGACCTTAATCTGACTCATGAAAATAGATTAGAATCCAAGTATTACAACTTGTAACTCATAAATAATATGTAAAATCAATCCATATAGGTTACAAGTTGAGTTTGGATCAACTTGCAGATTGACGAATTAACTTGTTTTTTTATTTTTATTTTTAAAAAAATATTATACTTATTATTTTTAATTAATTTTTCTATTACTAATTCTCATTATTGATTAATATTCTTCAACCTTCTTTCCATTACCCACATAGTTTTGTACCTATTTTGAGTGTTTGGTAATCATTATTTCTTTTTCATTTTCTAAAAATTATATGAATTTGATATAATTATCAAATATTATGAATTAAGTGATAATACAACTAAATATATTAGAGATATGATACTGAGATATAAATATAACGATTTAGTAAAAGAAGTTTTTGGAAAAACAATTTTATTTTAAGAAGCAGCTTAAACTTGATAAATTATGTTTTAAGATAATGATTGCAAAATTTAAATTTTATTTTCTAAAAAATTTTAATATTTTAAATTTAATATTGTAAATTAATTTATTATTATATATAACTCATGATGTTTTCATAATTTAAATATTTGTGATGGAGAATATGAAGTGTTTAACGTTATAAATTACAATATTTTAAAACTTTTAAATTTTAGTTAAATTTAAATACCTATAATTTTGTTTAAATATAATAAAATTAAAAAAATAAATGTAAAAATTTAAAATAAAGTAAACTACAAATCTATCTATAACTCATTAGAATCGAATTAGAATTAATTTTTATCAACCTACAAACTATTTACGACCCAACCTATAGAACTTATCAGTGGAGTTGATTTAACTCCAATCTAACCATACCGCTAGTTTCCCAGGCCAGGCTACAATTCCCATGTATATAAATATAACTAGGAAGCTATGTGAATGGTAGGAACCTAGGAGGGGTCATAGGCTAACTTCTAGATAATTTGCAGCTGACACTGAGTGGTTGCCTTTCTTTTCAATATATCGATTAGCATTTTTTGGTGGGAGGGTTCAGTAAACAGCATTTTCTTCCCAATGTGCCTGCCTGTGCTTTAGATGTTTCTTCAAGTGTTCCATTTGATGGGGTAGAGGTGGTTAAAATTTACCCCATTCAATTAACTCGATTCAAACTTAACCTATAAAAAAGAGTTAAAATTTATATATTTTAATATGTAACTTATAAATAATTTGTAATATCAACATATACAAATCAAAAATTAGGTTAGAATTAAGTTCAACTCATGGGTTGAGCCATTTACTTTATTTATTATTATTATTTTTAAAAATATTTATTTATTATTCTTAATTAATTTTTTTATTGATAATTCTCTTCATTAATTTATACTCTTTAACCTCATTTTCATGACTCAAATAGTCTAATTATATATATTTACATCAAATTAAAGCATTATAACCTATTAACACTAAGTACTTTATAGTCTCCACTTCAAATATTTAAATTAAAAAAATCATAAAGTTATAAATAATAGTAAGTTGATTAACAATATTAAACTTAAAATATTTAAATTTCTTGAAAAATTAAGTTTTAATTTTACAATCATCTTGAAACATCATGAAGGAGTTTAAGCTTTTTTTTTTATGATAAAATTGCTTTTCTAAAAACATCTTTCACTAAATTATTATGTTATATCTTAGTATCACATCTTTAATATTTTTAGTTATATTATCATTTAATTTATGATATTTAGTAATTAGATTAAATCCATATTAAAAATAATTATAAAAAAAAATAAAAAATAAAATTAACCCACAAGTGAACTTGCAACCCATTAGGGATACGGGTTAGGGTTGGATTTTTTCGACTTACAATCCATTTGCAATTTAACTTATACAATTCGTCACTCGACTTAACCTAACCTGAAGCCTAATCAACTCGTCCGTTTGCCAGGTATAGATGGGGGTAGCTAATGTAGGTTAGTTGAGGAATCATCTATGGCAACAAGTCAGCCGTCTCTTCTTAAAGCTCAAATGCAACTGAGGACGGAAATTAATCAGGGATGATATATGAAGATTTATTAATGGTATTTTTATCTTTTTTTCACCCTAAATTGATTTTTTAAGCACAATCTTGTTTTGGGAAAAAATCATTTTCATTTGAACGTTGTTTTAGAACGTACGGTAGGAATAATATAAACCTGTTTGGGAAAAAAAAAAATAGGGTGTATTAAACGCTCAAATGAGATGACTTGGAATCTCTTGTTTCTAACTTTTGACAAATCTCTTGTTTCCAATATTAAAATAAAAAAAAGGTAATTTGCAATTTGTCTCGTCTTATGAAATGCTTATTTTTAAATAATTTCCCGTCACTATTGGCCGCATTATCTTTCGTCCTTCGATTTAAGTCAACACCCAAATTAAATTTTTTGAAAGGTTGATGTTGAGGATACTGCTATCTGAACTTTTATTTTATTTTATTTTGTTATAAGGATAATGATTAGAAAGTTAGTAGAGTTAGATATTAGCAACTGAAACTTCCCATAATGGTGGACAATCTATCCCCTCAGAAGAGGCGCGCGATCATTAAATCACAAATTGATAAAGTTCACAATGATAACAAAACTCGAAATTCTGATCTCAACCTCATTCAAATCCTAATATTTGAGGGCCAACCATTGGCCACAGGCCCGACCATTGGCCACAGGCCCGGTTGGCATATGAACTTTTATTGAAGTTACCAATTTAACAATAATTTTACTATTATAAGATAAAAATAAAAAATAATAAGTGTAATAAAATTAAAGTATAAGATATAAAATAATTAATTTGACTTTTTTACACTTTATCGTTTTTTGTTTTTATCCCATAAAATCATCTTTTCTATCATTAT